CAGGTCATCATATCATGATAATACTCTGAGGCTAACGCTAACAGGTCTCAGGTCATCATATCATGATAATACTCTGAGGCTAACGCTAGCAGGTCTCAGATCATCATATCATGATAATACTCTGAGGCTAACGCTAACAGGTCTCAGGTCATCATATCATGATAATACTCTGAGGCTAACGCTAACAGGTCTCAGGTCATCATATCATGATAATACTCTGAGGCTAACGCTAGCAGGTCTCAGGTCATCATATCATGATAATACTCTGAGGCTAACGCTAACAGGTCTCAGGCCATCATATCATGATAATACTCTGAGGCTAACGCTAGCAGGTCTCAGGTCATCATATCATGATAATACTCTGAGGCTAACGCTAGCAGGTCTCAGATCATCATATCATGATAATACTCTGAGGCTAACGCTAACAGGTCTCAGGTCATCATATCATGATAATACTCTGAGGCTAACGCTAACAGGTCTCAGGTCATCATATCATGATAATACTCTGAGGCTAACGCTAACAGGTCTCAGGTCATCATATCATGATAATACTCTGAGGCTAACGCTAACAGGTCTCAGGTCATCATATCATGATAATACTCTGAGGCTAACGCTAACAGGTCTCAGGTCATCATATCATGATAATACTCTGAGGCTAACGCTAGCAGGTCTCAGGTCATCATATCATGATAATACTCTGAGGCTAACGCTAGCAGGTCTCAGGTCATCATATCATGATAATACTCTGAGGCTAACGCTAGCAGGTCTCAGGTCATCATATCATGATAATACTCTGAGGCTAACGCTAAACGATAGGCCTACAGGAGACGAACTTTACACTTTTGCTCTTTTTGATCGAATTTTATGTCTCCATCTCATTACTCTGTGTGAAATGTTGTCTTCTCTGTACTCAGAATTGGCAGTGTTTCCCCTATATGCATTCAGGAGCGGCGGTGCGCCGCTGCTTAATCACGACCGCCGCTACTAAAATTTCCCACGATCATTACGTGACAGATGCTGTTATAAGTGCTGCGTAACTCTGAATCAGGTGCGTAGCGAGTGTTTGACTGTCCGAGCGGCATAAAGTGGATTGGATTTTAATGTGCAAATAAAATGCACCTCAGAAGGGAGGAGGTTTCTCATGCTGCCTGTTTTTTATATTAATGTCTACAAATAAATGTCAGAAGCTGTGAAATGAAGACACAAAGGCAAACATGAACAGTTGTATCTATAATGATTCTCAGGTCATATTAACAGGGTTTTAGGGGTGATGCCCAAAACATGCTGTGCCATCACTGTAAAATCACTGTGGAGCAACAGAACCAACCAAATTACTTTCTCCAGATCTAAAAGGTTGTCGTTCCACCAGCAGACTGATCTTTGGGTGTTGTTTATTTACTATCTGCTCCAGCTTTTCCAACTATTTGTTCAGAGATATGGAGAAAATAATGGCCCAATATGATGTGAAATTACATATTTTTCATAGGAAATGCTGCTGTTTGTCCTGCCCCCGCTGCTGAAAATAATCCTACACCGATTGGGATGATTTATTCACATTTCATCTCTAATTCATCCTTTAAATCTCAGTATAGCCTATGATTTTTTTCAATCCCTAAATTACAAAAACAAATAAAAGGGCAAAATTCCTTCTGAACTGACAAAGGATTCTGGGTAGTGTCGTTAAGGGAAAGGAACCCCAGGAACAGAACCTTATTTTGTAGCATCCAGATGTAAATGAAGATGACTGACTCTATATTAATATTTCAGATCCCTGTGAAGAAACCAACCCCCAGTTCGAAGCACAAAACCAGATCACATGTTCATAATTTAATCTAATTTGAGTCCGAAACATAATATCACGTGAATAAATGAATCTTGTGGTGCTGGCATATTACTGAATGAATATAAAACGAGGTTAGGCTGTTAGAAGTCTCTCCAAATCCCGCGGGAATTCCTCCATCTCAAAGGCTTCCCTCCATACATTTTTAATGAGCAGCTCGCCTGAAATCTCGCCTGCTCTTGTTTCTTCCTACAGGCGATAATTGCGCTGGAAGAATGTGTTGGTTTTTTTTCATTTTCCAGGAATTATTCTGTCTCCTCCTCCTGCTGCTGCTTTATCGCTTTATCAAACATGTTTTTAAAAATACGATAAAATCACATTCCGTTGTGATTTTATTAAAATATTTATGGGCAATTAATTGATTATTATTGGGTTTATTACATATTGAGACAAAAATGAATTTAAGAGGAACATTTTGAGAATTTTAAATTAGCTTTCTAACGAAAAAACGCCTTAACATTCTTATTTTTATTCTTTTTCATTTCATTCATTTATCTTTTAGGCCTATTTCCCATTTTCTACTGCGCCTATTGTGTATTGTGATAATGTTTTTATACAATTTCTTCTTATTATATTTTTAATAGAGTCTCTTTTATGAGAAGTAGGCTACAGTCTACTGTATATTGATTCCAATAAAGGCTGAGGGGATAAAAAATAATCGATTACGTGGATTGGCCTTGCACAACTGAGCTTATAGCAACCCTTATATATCACTTTACAGAGTTAGTGTTTAATATCCCTATATTATGATAGAACAGTTTTATGTAATAGTTTTCAATGACTCCCCTCTAAAATCTATCATAGGGTGACTGCTGTTATTTATAAAATCGGATATCACGCTTTTCACTCTCAGCTGCTGTTTTTTCCCCAAGATGTTAAGAGTGAAAATTGATGATGAAGGGAAATAAAAGTCGTTTTCTCTCTGTTCTATTTTTTTTTGTCCTGTGAGGAGCTTCCTGGTCCGCAGCAGCCGTGTTCTCCATCACATCACATCGCATCCATATTAATGCAGAGAGACGCACATGTGCGTTTCCCCCCGAGACCCGCAGCACGCAACCTGCGGCTCAGATGAAAATCTGCATGAGCTTCATTAAACCTTAACGAAAATACACAGCTATAGCATTATTGAAACCCTTACTATAAAAACTGTAAGGCCTTAAAGTAATTTCACACGCAACAAAAGGCCTTCAAAACGGAAAAATAGGTTATTATCACTGTAACCTGATTATAATCTGACATAGGACACAATAATATACTGTGAGAAAGGAATCTAGTGTCACTGCAGTTAAATGCCTATAATAAGACTGTTAAATGATAAACAGCACCATAAACCTGCACAATCAATAAATAGACACATTTTTATAAGCTTAGAAATATAAACATATTAAAATATTATCAGATCACTTAAAAAATTAGAGGGATGCATAGAAACACTATGAGCCCTATATTATAATAATATTTAAATACTATAAAGCACAAAAAGTCTAAAGAAAATCAAACGTCTCCTCCCTGTTTCAGATTATATTACTGTTGTATTACCACATCAGGCATGTTTACTCCTGCTTCTATGTTCTCTTGCATCATTATTTTTGGGATATTAAAACACAAAACATCAGCTTTGCAGAACAACAAACATTTCCACTGGAGTATTACAACAGCATCATAGAAATATTCCATCTGGAGTCTTTTTCCTTTTGTAGATCTCCCATAAAGTCCACATTTAGTATTATATTTCCTCCTCTAGCATGGAAATGTGGTCTGTTTTCATCCTAACAGGATCATTTAAAAACCACAAATGTCAGTGTAAAATCTATTTAGGAATAATTTAGAAATATTGAATCACCTACTTAAGAGTTTTCTTTGCATTATCGATCCTGAAATGTTCACCTAATAATTTCTCCTGCAGCAAGGAAACAACATCTGGTTTGATCGTTGAAGGTTATGGGAATATTGGCGTTTTTAAAGCACCATAAAACACAAAATAAATCTTAAAAATCACCTCCTTGTTGGAATATTTGTTTCATTATTGGTCTTATGGAAAGATTGGTCAAGATCAAATTGGTTTTAAAGGTCTTGGCAGCTTGGATTATCCACGTTAGACTGAACAAACATCTTCTACATCAGGAGAGTCAACCCATTGCCTCCTCCTCCTCCTCCTCCTCTCGATCAATATAATCTGAGTGCTGAGACATGTGGCAGCTCAGGGACTCTCCCTCTTATTAATAATGAATGCACTCCAAACCACTCTGTGTGTATGTGTGTTATCCCCGCCATCAAAATAAAAGCACACACTTATTTTCAAACATTAGTCATTTTATTTATTACTCTTTATCATTTTAGCAATCTTTTATTTATCTATTTTTTTATATCTCAGTAGGCCTACAATCTGTAAAGTATCAATCTCGTGTTAAAACTTTCTGGGATAGACTATCTATAATAGAGCTTTTTTATTTTAAATTCTATTTTTTCAAAATCCTTTGATATACATATTCTGTTGTTAGATGATTTTTTTTCTGAAAACTCTTTTTTCTTAGGCAACATCCCCATAAACAAACGAAGAGACAAACCAACAAACAAACAAAAAGGTACACATCTTTTTGTCAGAAGGCAGTGGAAACGTCATCTGTGCCTCAGCAAAGAAATAAACAACCTCCTCGAATTTATTTACTGTATTTATGTAGTTTATGATGCTACTGTACTGTTGGGACTTTTTAATCTAACATACAGACCTAAAATATATCACCTCTAAGGTTGTCTAGTATGAATCACTGCCATATGAAAAGGGGGGATGTGCTAAATGGCAACAGTCTTATCACTCTTCAGCCACGGTTTTATTTTTTATTTTTTTTAGCTACGCTGGCCATGAAGTCTTTGTATTGCTGTCGGCTTTTCAAAACAACATATTTCTTTCTTTGAGTAACGGTTTTGCGCACAGATTCATTCATTTCTAACATGGTTGTGCTGAGCACAATAATGTCGTTCTACTGTCACGTCCAGGCTGATGTGCAGTTTATACTCTGAACTATTTCTGGAAATGAGCGCAATGCCAAGTGGCTAGCTCTGACACAATCCCATTTTGTTGTTGACATAGACATTGTCTGTTTTAGACTATAACTGTTAGCTCACATGACCCAGTCTTGTTTAGTTGTTTTCTGTTTGAGACTATAAACTGTTAGCTAACCTGACCTAATCTTGTTTAGTTGTCTGTTTTAGACTATAAACTGTTAGCTAACCTGACCTAATCTTGTTTAGTTGTCTGTTTTAGACTATAAACTGTTAGCTAACCTGACCTAATCTTGTTTAGTTGTCTGTTTTAGACTATAAACTGTTAGCTAACCTGACCTAATCTTGTTTAGTTGTCTGTATTAGACTATAAACTGTTAGCTAACCTGACCTAATCTTGTTTAGTTGTCTGTTTTAGACTATAAACTGTTAGCTAAACTGACCTAATCTTGTTTAGTTTTCTGTTTTAGACTATAAACTGTTAGCTAACATGACCCAATCTTGTTTAGTTGTTTTCTGATTCAGACTTAGCTAACCTGACTTAATCTTGTTTAGTTGCCTTTTTTAGACTATAAACTGTTAGCTAACCTGACCTAATCTGGTTTAATTGTTAACCTAAATATTGTCTGTTTTAGACTATAAACTGTTAGCTAACCTGACCTAATCTTTTTTAGTTGTTTAGCCAAACATGGTCTGTTTTAGACTATAAACTGTTAGCTAACCTGACCTAATCTGGTTTAATTGTTAACCTAAATATTTTCTGTTTTAGACTATTAACTGTTAGCTAACCTGACCTAATCTGGTTTAATTGTTAACCTAAATATTGTCTGTTTTAGACTATAAACTGTTAGCTAACCTGACCTAATCTTTTGTAGTTGTTTAACCAAACATTGTCTGTTTAACCATATAAACTGTTAACTAACCTGACCAAATCTTTTTTGGTTATTAAAGTGAATTTCTGGCTAATCCAATCTATTTTAACACACACAGCCATCCATTGCATATTAGTGAAAATGCCAGATTTAACCAGGGTTGTTGGTACTGATTTGGGCTATGATTGAAGTCCAATCAGCAGCAGCCGATCCATAAACCTTGCTGGATAAAGTCAAGAAACATTTTGGCTAGGTGGAAACAACTTATGGGACCAAAAGTTTAAAGCTATGTCCACTTCCTTGCTGTTATTCCATATTCCTTTATGTCAGTGGGATGAATCAACATTTCAGAGTTTGTGCTCATTTCCTGAAATGTTTTGAGACTGTCTGAACTTTCATCATGCAATTTAACATCAGTCTAAACTGTTATTTAATGAAAAGCAGGCTTTACGATCTCACTCCTACACCTCAGATCTTGGTGGGGACAAATAAGGCCACGGTCACACCAGAAAACGGCAGAGTGAGATTTCTTCACGCGGCGTTGATTTTATAAGTGGTAGCTAGCGGCATAGCAAGCTAGCCAGTTCAACAATCAAAAGTAAAATCCACCGCTGGCACACGATTGACTGCAAGCCATGCTGCATGGGTCAAAGGTCAATACTGTCATCATCAGTGTTCATCAAGGACAAAACTAATGTTTCCGGTTATGACGACTCCATTCAAATTACTTAAACTTGGTGCAAATTGCCGCTGTAATAAAAGCTGGTGTAACCGTGGCCTGAGCAAGACAAACAGCCAATAACAATACAAATATTACATTGGCATCAAGTGTTCAGTCCAACAAACCTACCGGGCTCAACACAGTCAACTTGGCGCAATACAAAAGGAAAAACTGTCTGTGATGGAAATGAGGCGACTGGTCTGGGCTCTAGGCTTCGGCTTGTCTTATTGATTTTGTGGTGTTAAGCGCTGCCTCGCGTTGCACATGAATATGTACCATAGGCTATATGGGAACCCTAATATATAGCCTGATACTGTGTCAGCACCCAGCAGGCACATAGTGCTATCTAGGCCTAGCCTACTAAACATTAATAATTCATAGTTGACTTTAATACTGTGTAATTCCACGATTGTAAGCGGGCAAGGATCCATCAAATTTTCATCACTGTCATCGTTTCAGCTCGACGGCGTGTTGAATATTTCATGTTATCGACCTCAGGGTCAGGTCAGTGTGTGATTGGATGAGCACTCCAGGAGGATGGCCTGCAGATGTCCCAGGACGGCAAGCCAGGCCGCCGTACAGTGATGTAGTAAAAATCCATTTGGGGTGTCGTTTTCTGGTGATGAATTCAAACTCGGTCCTTTTGAAGTTGTTTTTTCAGTATCGAGGAGAAGTTATCGCTCTTTTTCTATTTTCTTTTTTCATTTGTATTTTCCCTTTTTTTTTTTTTTCTTCTTTTCACTTTGTGTTTTGTTTTATGTTTTTCCTCGTTTCTGTTAAAACGCCAGCCAAGTCAGTATGGTGGGCAGTGTGGTTAGGACCAAGGCGAGGCCCCTGGCGTCGGCTGATCTGGGGGCTGCGTTGCCGCCGCCACAGAGTTCAAACAAACTCCCACGGAAATCCAGGCTGCGGGACTCCTTTTTCAGTTTCTCCCAGAGGTCCGTCGCTCCCTCCTGGCAGTCCGCCAGCGCCGTCGTGGCACAGGAGTGGAAGTTATCCCAGTAACTGGCAGGAGAAAACACAGCAAGCGTTAACACCACAAGCTTATGACTGCAGTGGGAGGCTGGTTTTAAACTGAATGCATCATCTAGTCAGGAGGCAGAGCCAAGAGTGGAAGTCATCCCAGAGTCTGGCATCACAGAAAACACAGCGAGGAAAAAGCTTATGAAGACACAGCCGGTGAAGTTTATATTACAGCTAAACTAAAGCAAGTGTGGAGCCTCAGAGCATTTTACTCCACTGTCTTTTCCACTGAGTATTGGACAGAAAGACAAACTAAAAGACAGATTACTTGCTACCAAAGCTACCATTAATGACACCAAGAGACATTATTATTATCACCATGTTGTTTTCGATATCCAACTTTAAGGTCAATAAATACACTGCTTTTTCTAAACTCCTGGCAATCGTCCTGCTCAGGAAGCTCCAAATAAAGATATCAGAAGTCTGAAGTACTGGACGTCATCGGTTTTTAGACATTTAGGCTTCTAAATAAACCAAATTAAATAAATATAATTCAGTGGACAAAGTATGTAAACATTAAGAATTAAAAAGTCGAGAGTGAGTGGCCAAGAAACTACCTACTGTTGCTTAAGGGTACTTAAATTCAAATTTGAGGTACTTGCAGTTGTACTATGCTACTTTATGCTTCTGCTAAACTACTTTTCAGCTTTTTTACTGCACTACATTTGTGACGGCGCTGCAGAGTAAGTTTTATGTAGAACACAAGATGGGTTTAAAATAATAAGCACAGCACATAAAGTCCACTTTGAACAAGACTGAGGCGGACACGCAAAGTATAAATAATATGTCACGAGGTTATCATGATGATAATAAGAGCAGTTAGCGTCAGGTGACCAGAATTACTTAAAATAGGATAATATGACATCATCTGCTCCAGTGAATGTGACATAAAGGCACTTATTCAGCTGACTTTAAACTCCTTCTCTTCTTCCATCCTACCTTTTTACCGCTCTCCTTTCTCTCCTCATAGCTCCCTCCCCCACACTCCATCCTCCCTTCTTCTTGTAAACCATGACTCTCACCCTCCCTCCCTCCCTCCTCTCTCACTTCTTTGCTGATATAATGTTTTTATTCAGACTCAAGCGGCGGCGTCCTCCCTATCTTCTTCTGTCTTCACCCCTTTGCCCTCGTTATTCCTTCCTTTTCCCTGTCCTTTATTTAGTTTTTCTGTTTTTCTTTTCATTCCCTCTCATTCTTTGTCTGTTTTTGGCTCCCTCTCGCTCTCTTTCTTTAGTCTCCACCTCTCATCTGTTCATCTTTTTTTTAACCTCCTTCCTCCTGCCAGCTATTATAAAGGCGTCACCAGCCTGCTCGCCCTCGCGTGCTGACACACACACACACACACACACACACACACACACACACACACACAGCGTATCTAATCCAATCTTCCAATCTGCTCTTATTGATGTTGACCTCCTGAACCGAGCCGTGTCGATGCTACATCTCTGAGCAATTAGTGTGTGTGTGTATGTGTGTGAGGAGGCGTATTAACACATCCCTCCTGCCACGCCTCAACACCGCTGTGATGGAGCTGTCGCTGAATTAAAAAATCATGTGTGTGTGTGTCGGGGGGGGGTTCTGGCTGCAGCGTGCCATCTGGTGCCCACCCGGTTTGGGTGGTGGGGTGGACACGGGGGATAAAAAGGGGTTTGCACAGTCCCCAACTGCTGGCCTCAGTTTCCCCCTCAGGGTCTGCAGTTAAATCACTCATATTATTTTCTCTGTTTGATCAAGAAGCCTCGCTGTCAAATGCTGAGAAACCTTTTAAAAAATTGCACAAATATTCAAATAAATAGGCATTAAAAAAGAGAGAGAATATATAAATATATAAATGTAAATATGCTGCAAAATGCCAATTTGTTTTATATACTTTCTACTTTACTTGGGAGAACTATTGCTGATATTGGATGAATTTGCAGTATTTCGTGTGATAGTTGAAGGGCTGCTTTCTATTCTCTATATAATACTATACTACCATTACACAAAACAGCTTTATAGACTGTATACTTTCTACACTGTGCAATTTTACAAAATGTTCCTATGTTTTCCTGAGAAATACTTGAATCCAATAAATCAAAATCAAAATCACTGCTACAAAGCACAAGGGGTGGACAAAATATCAGGAACACCTGCAAAAGCTGCAGCAATCCCATTAAACCAAACACTACCACAATGCAGTAATAGCACAGTGGAAAAATACTCAAGCCTCACATTCAAAAACTTACTTGAGTAAAAGTACAGAAGCAAAATGTACTTTAAGTAGGCCTATGGAAAGTATTTTTACTGATGCATTAACATGAAAGCAGCATCTTCATTTGTTGCAGTAGTTTTATCTACTTATGGGGAGTTTATTCTACTACAATGATTAACTCTATTAATATAATATATAAATACACATAGAGCAGTATCACGTTTAATATTTACCACACACACGTAGTGAAGTACAAGTAGCACTAAATGGAAATGCTTAAGTAAAGTATGAGTACCTAAAAATGAAGTTACATCATATTTAATTAAGTAAATGTACTCAGTTTCACTCGACCACTGGACTCATTTTTAGGGTCTACATTATGTTGTGCAGGATTCTCAGTTGTCATTTTAGGGGTCCTGGGCTACAATGGGGGCCCTTGAATCTGACCCTCAACTCTTTTCAGTCCATCCTCACATGAATTTACAGTCATGGATGGATTTTCTGTAAGCAGCTGTTGATTCTTTATATTTAAAGCTTGCCAGCATGTGCTTTAATTACTTCTTGTGTGTTTGCCCTTGTCAGTCTTTTAGTGTTTTGCAGCACTTGGTGGGAGTGTAAAAGAAACCAAGTACGTGGTAAAGGCCATGCATTAAAGAGTAATACTCTAATATTTTGCCTTCTCGAGCCTCTGTTGCCACTTCAGTCCACCTCCTCCAAATGGGAAGACCATCTCTAACATGATATCGTAATCTGATAATATTGCGATGTTTCCACCCTCTGAACGTGTGCGTGGTGAACGTACCTGCAGATCTTGTGCAGGTTCTCCCTGTCGTCCAGGTCCTGGGGATAGTTGGCCATGTTCTCCCCCAACTGAAGCAGACAGTCCGAGAAACCTTTAAACACAGAGTCACATTGACCAGCACTGACCAGCACCGTCTGCAACACAGAGACTGCAGGGGGAGGAAGAGGACGAGGAAGAGGAGGTAAGGAAAACAGAGAGGAGGGGAGACGGGGGAGAGGATGGGGGGGAGAAAGAGAGAGAATTTTACATTAAAGAAAATCACATTAAGCTTCTCTTTGATGCGTCCTTGCAGGAAAAAGGCAGACCTCTGATGGGCCACATCTGTTCTGTTTTCTTATTGGACGAACAGCAAAACGTGAGGACCACCTTTCATATAGGAGGTACCGATTTAAAGAGTTAATTCATCCGTTTCCTCCAACATTAACCTTTAAACTTCTCTTTTGAGCTTTAGCACGACGTGTGCTACTTACACATGTTGATGTTTTCATTTCAAGTGTTTTTTTTCCTACAATTACTTTTAATTGTGTTTTAGAAACTTGCCACCACATCTTTTAAGTTTCATTTCAGTCTGCCTGAGGTTGATGTCACGTATCTGCAGTTTGCTGGTGCTCTCTGCCGTCTCAGCCAACGCCTTACCAGAGAAACGGCCGTACAGGTCGATTATGCAGAAGTTTATTACGACCCTTATTTAGGCCGTGACCTCTAGTGGCAAAAGAAGTCAGGTGAAGAGCACACCTTCCTGTAAGGTGTAGGGGTGGATGGATGAGTCGCGTAAACTAAGGACTTTCACTCAGGAGACTGAGGAGTCCCTTGAGAAAGAAAGTAGAAGTTGACATGTTTTAAGTTAAATAACGTTTTGTACATGATATACATTTCATGACTTATGTAATGTACTTACATTTACCCAAACCACGATGTTTTCCTAAACCTGACCGAGTAGTTTTTTATTCCCTAAACCTAACCAAACAAAAACTGTTTCACAACCTTTCCCACGTGTTCAAGGTCATGTGATTAAGGTGTGATACTTGTCAACCCTCGGGCATGTCATCTTGGAAAACCGTCTTACAGTTTTACAAGTTATTGTAGTTTCCAATAGACAAACGACCTATTCAATCGTTTAGGTAAGATGTTGTATATATAGTAACATTTGTCCAAAATGTCCAAAGGCTTGACCTGATGTAAGCACGCGTGGTTTTTACAAATGTATTATTTTACATGTAAAACATTAAACATGAACTGAAATATTTAACTGAGTAGCAAAACTGAAATCACCAAAATATCTCGCATCATGACAAAATGGCGTGGCGACACACACACACACACACACACACACAGTTCAGCTCTGTATATGTAATCAGCAAGCGTCTCCTCTCTGATTCCCTTTAATGGAGAGAAAACTCCCTAATAAAACTCAGCACGGGTTGATCTGACACGCCTCCACCCCCCTCCTCAGTCCCAGTCACACACACGCCCCTTTACATGACCTCTGTGAAGTCACTGTGTGTTTGTGCACGTGGTTCGTTAAGCAGGGGATGGGGCTGATTGATCGGTTTGGATAATAACACGCCTGCTGTCCGGTTCCACTCGATCTAACTGCGGACTAACACAGCATGACGTGTAGGACGAGACACGGCTGTTAGAGGAGGACGGCGGGGAGAAATCTATTCGTCCTGACTGCAGCATTCAAAAACCATGTGACTGTTTCTATCGGCCGTGTCAGTTCCTCAATAATGGGTTCACACTGAGCTTCTACTTCATGGGATGTACTTCTACTACATCTTTCCAATAGTATCCCAATAATTTTCCTATAACATGCCAACAGATGTGTGTCTGGCGCTTCGCAGTGAGTTTAAACTGATGTATCATCATCACACTCCTATAACCAGCCTGGGATCACCAAATGGCGTCTAAATAACACACCAATGGTGTCACTTCACACCATTTAGTCTCTACTGACTTATATTGTGCAGAGACGCAGTGTCATTTCATGTGCGAATGTCACAGAGAAAAAGAAAAGTCAGGTGACGTAGTATAAAGAGGGAGAAAGTCTGCGTCAGTGTGGATGGACGGGTCTAACAAACACTGGACTGTTTGATTCACCTAAAGTCATCTTGGATATTTACTTACAAATGTTAAGTTATGTACTTATTTTAACCCAAACCATCATCTTTTTCTAAACTGTAGCCAAACTGCGACCGTTTCGCAACGCTAACCACGTGTTTATTACCATAAGAAGGACGGCAAAGGTCAACCAACCAACTGTCCTTTCGTGCACGTCCAAAACTTGACGTGTGCGCTACATACTGTTTCTCAGCTATCCCTTGACATCATGTAGCTATAACAGTGTTAAAAGTGTGATTGTATGGAAGTCTCTGAGAAAATGTTTCTACTTCTCAGCTGATTTATTCCCTCAGTAAACACTTTCCTGATGAGTTTATGGTCTCAGTCGCTAGTTTCATGTCTTCTTCAACACAGCATGATGTTCATTTAGTAAATTATGGTCCCATTTAGAGGAACATAGACCAGAAAGCAGGGAAGGCTTTAGGGTGGGGCTATAGAGGCGACTTGTATCCGCTGCTCTGTGTACATTTAACCAGTTGAAAAAGCTAATTAAGCCTGTTTGTCACAAGCCAAAATTAGTATCCAGGTTAAAATCACACTTATGGTGCATTCCATTTACCTCGGAAGTCGGAGCTTGGAATGACGTCACACCCAGGTTGACGGCGTTCTCGCTCGGCCAGCTGTTGTTTGCAACTAGCCAGGCTAGTCATTGTTATGCCGGTTGATTAAAAAAACACATTGTGCGGGATTTACTCATACTAAAAGTTTAAAGTTTATTATTAAAGTGTAAAATCACCAGCTGTGTGGTCCCAGTACACTTTACAGAAAACAAAGACACATAGAATTTGCATAAAAAGAAACACATAAGAAACACACATTAAAAAACAACAATAAAATAGAAAATTATAAAACTAATAATAAATACAATAAAATAAAATAGACAATTAAAATGTATAAAAATTCATAAAATACCCTAGCCCAAACTATAAGCCTTCTCACAAAATACAGAAAAAACATCCCTAGCTAAAAGCTTACTAAAAAGAAAAGTTTTTAGCCTACTCTTAAATATGGAAATGTTGGTTGCTTCCCGAACCCAGACAGGGGTCTGATTCCACAGCTGAGGTGCCCGATGGCTAAAGGCTCTGGCTCCTATTCTACATCTGGAGACCCTTGGCACTACAAGTAGCCCTGTTCTGGTGGGGCAGTATGGTGTAAGGAGTTCTTTCAAATAGGATGGTGCCTGACCACTAAGGGCATTGTATGTAAGAAGAAGTATTTTAAAATCAATTCTCAATTTTACCGAGAGCCAGTGCAAAGTTACTAAAACAGGGGTGATATGATCTCTCTTACTGGTTCTTGTCAGTATGTGTGCAGCAGCGTTTTGTATTAACTGGAGAGACTTAAGAGAATTTTTTGAGCAGCCTGAAAGCACGGCGTTACAGTAGTCAAGCCTTGAGGTAACAAATGCGTGAACAAATTTCTCTGCATCATCTTGATGTAGAAGGTTTCTAATTTTCACAATATTGCGAAGGTGAAAATAGGCAGTCCTTGTAGTTTGCGTTATGTGTGCGTTGAAAGACAGGTCTTGATCAAAAATAAAATAACCCAGATTCCTCACGGTGGTGCTGGAGGCCAAGGCAATGCCATCCAAGGTAACTATGTCTGCAGTCAATGTGTCTCGGAGGAGTTTGGGTCCAAGTACTACAACCTCAGTTTTCAGAGTTCAACATCAAGAAATTATAAGACATCCAGGTCTTCACATCCTTAATGCACATTTAAAGCCTAGCTAACTGGTTGGTTTCATCAGGTCTGATAGAAAGGTATAACTGAGTGTCATCAGCATAACAATGAAAGTTTATACTGTGGTTCCTAATGATATTACCTGGCGGAAGCATATACAAGGTGAATAATATAGGTCCAAGGACTGAACCTTGTGGAACTCCATGGGTAACTCTGCTGTGCAGAACTGTACAAACTGGGTGCGATCTGATAAGTATGATTTAAACCAGCTTAAAGCAGTTCCTTTAATGCCGATTAAGTGTTCAAGTCTCTGTAGTAAAATATGGTGATCAATTGTATCAAATGCCGCACTTAGATCTAATAAGACTAATACAGAGACTAGTCCCTTATCTGATGCTGTTAAAAGATCATTAGAAATTTTCACCAGTGCTGTCTCTGTACTATGATGCATTCTGAAACCTGATTGAAATTTTTCGAATAAGTTGTTGCAAGGATCTTGGATATGAAAGGAAGGTTAGATATCGGTCTGTAACTGTCTAAAACCCCTGGATCAAGAGTAGGCATTTTAAGAAGTGGTTTAATAACCGCTTCCTTAAAAAACTGAGGTACATAGCCTGTTGTTAAAGAAAGGTTGATAATATTTAACAAACAAGTACCAACTGATGGCAAAACCTCTGGTTTGGACGAGGACACAACTGAAGTAATAGGCTGCTCTGGTGCTGTGGAGGGCCTTCCTATACATTTTCAAACTATCCTGCCACATTAAATGAGAATCTTCGTGATGTGTAAGACGCCATTTCCTCTCAAGTTTCCAAGTTGTTGCGTGTTTGACTGTTGTACCATGGAGCTAGTCTTCTATGTTAGTCAGTTTCTTTTTTAAAGGAGCAACAGTGTCCAGTGTCATTCGGAGCAGTCCTGTAGTGCTGTCCACGAGATGATCGATTTGTGAAGGATCAATTTGTGAGGGATGGACATTAGCATAGGAGTCTATAGGAGGTTTTATGAGACACGTAATTGAGGTACACACTGATGCAATAAAATCCTTAAACTTAACTACAGCACCATCAGATAGGGATCTACTAGAGGCATATTGGCTTGGTGGCTTGAAGTCCAACATTTGGAACTCAAAAGATAATAGATAGTGGTCAGATAAAATGGGATTATGAGAAAAGACCACCAAGTTTTCAATTTCAATACCATATGTTAATACTAGGTCAAGGGTTGAAACAGTGTGTGGGTTTATGAACCGAATCAAGCAGTGAACTAAATGCAGTGCTGAGGCTGTCATTCTTGACGTCCACATGAATATTAAAATCACCTACTATCATTACTTTGTCTGTTTTAAGGACTAAGTCAGCAAATTCTGATAAAAACTGGGTGTAAGGACTGAGAGCACGGTACAACTAAAATCTGCAGCATATTTGTCCAGGTTGGGTTTGAAATACCAAGAACAAGGCTTTCAAAAGAGCCATAACTTTGTTTGGGTTTTGACTTGACTAAAAGGTCTGAATAAAAAATAAAAACTCCACCACCTCGGCCAGTGCCTCGAGGTATGTGCATATTACTGTGACTGGGAGGAGTGGATTCATTGAGGCTTACACAATCATCATGACCCAGCCAGGTTTCAGTCAAACAGAACAAATCTATATTATGATCCGATATTAATTCGTTAACCAGTACAGCTTTTGAAGAGAGGGATCTGACATTTAATAGCCCACACTTAATTTTCATGCTATTCTGTTATTTTGGAGCAGTTGTAATAATCTTTATTAAGTTGTTAGGCACAGCTGTTTTTCTGTTCACTTTTGATTTAGGTGGCCGAACAGATACCGTTACTATGGGAATATGAGAGTGATGCATGTTTATACTTCAAAATCAAAATCAAAGATGAGGGTAGCTGCCAAGGGGAGCCACTGATGGAAACAGCGCAGGTCGGTGCAGCTGTGGACATAGAAAAAGTGGCAGCTACTGTGGAGGGGGTGTGTGGCGTAACTAGTCAGACACGTGGGGCGCATTGTACAGTGTGCTCGATATTAGCAGCCAGCATGCGGCTGCCTAATCTGCAGAACAGATTAAAATTGTCAATAAAACCAAAGCCATGAGTTTTGCAGGCTGACTGGAGCCAGGAATGAAGGTAAAGAAGTCTGCTAAAACATTCCGTTCCTCGACCAAGCCGGAAATAAAAACTGATTTTCCACAGCCAAAATCCCCTTTTGTCAGTTCAGAGGCACCCCGAGCTACATCATTTGCCCCGACATGCAAGACTACACGGCAAATGGAGGCTGGGAGTGAGCGGAGCAGTTCCGGGAGTTTATCCAGGATGACGGGGACTGTGGCTCCAGGGAAGCAATGAGTAGCAGCATTGAAGAACCGGATGGTCCGGATAATTGAGTCTCCAACTATCAAGGTAGTCGGGAGGAAAAGGGGACGAAGAGATGGTGATTGTGTAGACTTACAGGTGGAGGGTGTGTGATCCAGGCTGTCCACACCGTTTGTGGAGACCGGCGGACTCGGCGGGGAAGCAGCATCAGACCTGGTAGGGCGACTGCCCCCCAGCTCCGGGTGAGGAAAACCCCTGGATCGCCGTAGTACCACCTCCTTCAGGATTTTTCGCCGAGCAATGGAAGTTGTAAAGCGGGATGGTGGTTGAAGAGGCTTGCTTGTTGTTTGGCCAGAGGTCTGGGCGCTGTCAGCCACCAATGGAGGGAAGGCGACAGCATCGAAGTTAGATAGCAATGGGAGACGGGCCTTAAAGCTGGACAGGAGCGAGTTCCTTTGCTGGAGTTCATCAGAGAGCCGTCGGACATCCTCCTTAAGGTCAGCAATGTTCTTTTGTGCTTTTTCAAGGAGAAAACTGTCTGCGCACAGTTCACAGGCCATTGTTTATATCTTAGCCCCAGTGTTAAAAGCAAGCCGGCGTCAATCCAGGCCAGATTGTAGGCCGGTGGCTGGCAGGTGGCAGGTACTAAACACAACAGCAACAGAGACAGCTATTGGACAGCACTTTGTGTGCGAAAATTTCTATGAGACACAAGTACACAGAAGTGCTAAAAAACAGTATAAACTACAGCTGCTCATACTCAGAGCAGCCATCTTCCATCACAAAGTCGGGGTAGTGCAGTTCTTCCGACTTTCCAAGTAGGAAATCCGACTTAAGGGGGCGTTCCCTTTGAAATTTACGACTTTGAACTCAGACATTCCGACTTCCCATGTCAAATGGAAGGCACCATTAACATAAATCACAGATGCTCCTAGCTAACCAAGCTAGCTACCACCACCATCTCATCCATCACTTCTGGTGCCTGGCTCCAAAACACAAGATGGCGATAAACCCAATTCTTCAAACTGTAGTCCACAAACCCACCGGTGACGTTGCGGCTACATCCACTTATTTTATACAGTCTATGCCCAAAAACTTCCATTTGCATGAAACACAATTAACCTCGACCACCAACAGGTCAGTCAGAGAATCAGGTGTGTTATGCTAGTAGCTGCTAATGTAGCCTAGCATCAGCTCCAGAGGTCTAGACGACTCCACACCAACAGATTTCTTCCAGTTTCAAACTTGTAGTCTTCAATAGACCCTGACTTAAGTGACACATGCATTACTACAACAACTGGACACACACCTTGATGAGGAAATTGCTTTTAAGCTGACCCTTATTGACCTCCTAGTAGCGCTGCATGGTAATGTGACACACTGCAAATCAGGACATCTCCATCTCTTTGGCAGCACATATACTGTATTAATAACAAAAACACACAAACCACATTAAACAAAGCAGATTTTTTCACTTTGAGATCATAAAGAGACACAAACGAATGCAGAGGACACTGAGAACTGATGAACATGCTCGTCATGTTGTAAAGGCTGCTGATGATCTGTGCAGTAGCTGATATAAAACAAAGCTTTCGCCAGAAAATTGAAATCCAACAATTTTGCAAAAATTCTACTTTGATATTAGATCATGAGCTGCTGCGTTGTCCGATACGTCCTGAGGATGTGAGGCTGAATATCACCGATCACAAGAAGTAGTGGAACATACCCAAGTCTGTTTCTAGGTACCTCAAATTTGGAAAAAGTTTAGCTACTAGTTACTCTTAGATTACAAATGTTGATCACGTTTTTATTCTCAGAGCGTCAAATAGCTACACTTTGTCACGTCTTTCGCCATCTGGTACCAACACACGAGGGGAAGCCCTTTAACACTAACAGTGTTACTATAAGGGAGACTGTCCTCACCAGAAATACGACCATATACTGTCGGTCAAGACGTAAACGCCAACGCGGAAGTCCCTTAAACCTGAGAAGAAGTCCGGCTCCATTAGAAATAAAGGTAAAATGTTTCTATTTCTCAGCTGATTTATTCCCTCAGTAAACACTTTCCTGATGAGTTTATGGTCTCAGTCGCTAGTTTCAAGTCTTCTTCAACACAGCATGATGTTCATTTAGTAAATTATGGTCCCATTTAGAGGAACATAGGCCGTTAGCTCCACCGTCTCGTCCAAATATGGTCACGTCCGGTGCCGCAGGTTGCAAACTCAAGACTTCAAAACGGCGGCCCACAAATCAACGGGTGACATCACCATGACTACGTGCACTTCTAATATACAGTCTATGGTCACGTATTATAAAAAGCCAGAAAGTCCTAATTTGGAGGTGGTGGGTTGGACACCAGACTTTAACCCAGGAGGCCGGTGATCCGGACGGTCTGAAACTCAAGTCAACATTGATTCCTTTTAGTGATGTTACCTAAGTTACGTAAGCAGTGTTAGTTAACTTACGTAATTTAAGTCACGAAAGTGTCAAACCACGATCTTTTCCTAAACCTGAAGCTAGCGAATAGCTATTTAAGTTACTAGTAACTTGACTTTACTTGAGTATTTTCATTCTGTTACCAGTTACTTTACAAATTACGATTTTTACACACAAAAGTTACGTTTTGTCATAAATTAAACTACTTTTACTACATTTGTTGACAGACTGTTTTGGTAATCGTTGAAGTCATTTTTCATGTGAAGATTTGCGGCTTTTCTTTTTTGAATATTTAAATGTATTGTATTGTTATTGTAAATTCAATAATTTTGAGGTTTAAACTTACAAAACAAGCACTGTGAAGGCGTCACATTAAATATATGTAATAGCAGCTAAGAAAACTCACTTCTGGAGCTTTTGATCACATGATCTTCATCTGCGTTTCCATTTTCTCGCCCTGATCAATCAATCCTAACACTCAGCTGCTGTTCCCAACGTTAGAAATGAACTTTGAAGTTCAAATTTTGAGCCAAAATTCACAAAAAGTCCAAAAAGTAGAACAAATTCAGCCCGTTGTTACAGACTCTGTTTACGTGACCCTGCAGTCTTCCTCTAATATCTCCTCTGGGACTCTTGATACTCAGACCTATAATAACTCCTCACTTACTATATTATATAATATCACATATTTTCATGTATTATGTCGCTGTAATATTACTTTAATGTTTATATTGTGATTTTAATTAAGTGGAGCTTATAGTAAAGCCTTTAAATGTCCATTATATCTGTAATATATGTAATTAATACTCCCATAATACTCTTAAAGCTGCATCTGGATTAATCCTCCAAAACAAAATAAACCATTTTAAAAACTCCTATAATGTTTTTTGAGCATTTTTCTTTTTTACTCCGGAATAAAATATATATTAATTATAAGTGTTAGTGCTTAAGACTGTTTTCTTGTATGAACCTGCTGTTTGTGAAAATCTGCACTATTCTTCAGTCTCTCTCTCCATTGTTTCTCCTGGTGTCTCTCTACCACCATATGGAGGTGGCGGCATTACATCATCTCAGACATGAAGCCTCCTCTCTGCAGCAGTTGGGTTATTTTCTCTCAGTGAGACGGGCCAATCAGCTCCAAACAAGGTCACCAGAACACATGAATGAATCTACCCCCCCCCCCCCCCCCCCCCATTCACTACAACCCCTAAAATCGTCAGTGTTTAATTTTAACGACCCAAAATCTGCGTTTATTAAAAACAGAAATCTGACTCTTGAATAATTTTCATTCAGGCTGTTTTAAAATAATCAGTATTTATTATTAGTAATATAAAACGGAGTTTAGTCACGTGAGAAATGAGAGATTTTTTTAACGTTATTTCCTTAATTTTTATTATCTGCAGCATTTCCCCTCCCTTTATTACCTAAAAATAGCCATTAAACTATTCATGTTTTATTTATTTACATTTGTTATATATTTAAAGTATATATTTGTGGTTTTAGCCTATTTGAAAGGTTTTATATCACCTGTTCAGAGATGCAAACCCGTTCGTTATCTTTTCATTCTTGATCCCTAAAATCGCGTTTTACCTTTTTTATTTTCGCGCTTCTCCTTTGTTTTAAAAACAAAATTATTTCATCCCGCTGCTCCCTCAGGCCTTTTGTTTATTAATTCATTATTTTTATCAGTTATTTATTTTTTAATTCTTGTGAGTGAAACCAGGACGCACGCGCGTGAACGGGGCCGCGCACAGCATTATTCGTTCACGCCTCCCATTAAGCAACTCATTCACCCCACCTCCACACACACACACACACACACACACACGCACACACACGCACTCACACACACACACACACACACACACACACACGCACTGTTGCCTGCAGTGCATCGATGCCAGAATCAGCGTGTTGTAGCTTCCACGCAGCAGACACACCCACCATCACACGACACGAGGCAATTTCTTCGCGCGTAAAAATGCCCCCCCCCCCCCCCCCCCCCCCCCCCAGATTAGCCTACAAAAAAAAAAAACAACTATAAAAAATATTTAACTCGTTTTTAAATTACTGCTGGGGATTTTCTGCACACAAATGAGTTGAACAAAATAGTAAAAAGAGTTAACAATCATATATTTAAGAATATTTGTGCAGTAAATGTAGATTTTTTTTCTTTGCATTTGTGCAAATCATTTGATTTTGCTTTTTCTGGGTGGATGAGACGTTTGGCTGCAGCAGCGCGCCAAATATCATCTCGCAGCAGCCAATCACACGGCAGCATTTAAATAAAAACACAATAAAATATTAAAAATAATTCAGGCTGACAACAGGAGGAGGATTCAGAACCCCCCCCCCCCCAAAAAAAACAAATGAACCCCAGTCTGCTGGAGGCGGATTCGCTGAAAATCAAACGGGATGGCTGATATTTAAAATGCAGGCTAAAACATGTAAAAATTAGTGAAATAATTTAGCAGCTATTTTCCCTCATTTCGGTTTTATTCTCGTCTCGTTTGTCATCTGAAAGCATCCCAATAAAACACACACATTTATCTTTATTCCACATCTATTGTTTCCAACACGAGTCCGCTGGTTTCTGCCTCCTGAACCGTCCGGACCGCGAACACAGAACCTCCCTCTCTAACAATAGCACCGGGGAGGATCCTGCGTCTTGAATAATTCAGCACACACACACACGCAGAGACCTCCTCCACAGCGTCGTTATGCAACAGCAGAAAACAACAAGCATCTCCATATTCCTCTTGTTTCATCTCCAGATATTTGCGTTTTATTTTTGTTCCGTCCAGATATTAGACGGATCCCGGAAGGTTTCCTCCTGCAGATCTGCTGCATTAAAACCAATTCAGGCTCACGTGAAGGCTCATTTTGACTACACACGATTTTACTGTATTATAATACCAAAAAAAAAACAAAAAAAACCGTGCAGTTGGTTTTTATTTCCCGTCGTGCACGAGGCGCGTTCACACAGATAAATCAGATAGATTGATGAAGCTTTTCTCTCCTGATTTCTGCTTAAAAAAAAATCAGAAACAGGAGCTTTAGCTGATAAACACTGAGATGAAACGAATAACGAGATGATGTTTAAAATGGAGGCATTTCATCCTCCCGTTTTGACTCCCGGACATGCGGGTGTGCCGGTGCTTTCCTCCCCGCAGCCCCGCGCACTGCGGCGGGAGGAGCGGATCCTGCAGAGCCGGCACACCGGGCAGCTGCTCCGGCTGGACATTTTAACATCTATTTCTGTGATATCTTTCTGTTCTGTTAAAAGGACGTTTGCAGACATTAAAACAGGCCTTTCTTCTTCTTCTTCAGCTGCAGAAAAACCCCAAACACCATCAGATCCGACCGACAGCAAACAAAAACAGCGGAGATGATTTTTACATCATTAAAACTGAAAAATAAATTCGTTTCTGAACAAATTCAACAAATGTGTCCAGTGTGGGACAACCGGGGTGCAGGGGAGGAGAGGGGGGAGGGAGGGAGGGATGGGGGGGGGGGGGGGCATTCCCCTTGTTAGCGCACACACACACACATGCACAGGCACGCACTCGTGTCACGCGTACACACTCCAAATGTGAAGTGGAGCCCCGGTAAGATGAGCCGCCGCTGCTTCCTGACACCACCTGACAGCAGAGATTTTTAAATATCAGAAAAATATATTTTATTGACATTAAAAACGAATTTAAGTTTCTAAACCTTAAAAAAAAAAAAGGGTTTTTTTTCTGGCGCTGATTTAGAAATGAAGATAAAATGTTTCAAACTCGTTCTCAGACGCGACTTTAATGATGAAAGCGGGTTTACATTATTAGTAAGACATTTTAAACACCGTCATGTCTCAGAATGATCCACATGGAGCCTAAAAACACCACATTTACGCTTTTCCTAAAAGA